ATTTAGCCTTGGCCAACTCGGCTTCGATGACACCTTTTGACGGTCTGTGAAGCCCTGTCATGGCCTGAGAGATGGTAGAGGACCACAGCTCGGAGTCGTCTAGCTCGTCTATATCTTCGTCCGTGTCATTGAAGTCGTCCGAAGTATCGCCTCTACGAGAAGGCAGAGCGCCGAGAGAGGCTGTTCCGCGCAAGCCTTTGCCGCTGGTCCTACCGCTCTTTCGTGCGTTGCGAGGCACATTAACACTAGATGTCGTGGCACGCAGACCGGGCGAGGTAGTGTCATGCGAGCCATGTGCGGTTCTGCTGCTGCCCGTTGTGCCACTCCCGTTGCGTGCATTGGCAGAGATACCACGCGTGGAGGAGGAGCTCTTCACTTTAGCTGACATCACCTCTTGTCCAGCTGCACGCGTCGTGGCACGCTTCTTTTGAATGGCCGTGAGCCTTTCTTCTTCAGCCAGCTCCTCCGGATCCATAGCATCGCTATCGCTATCGCTTTGCGCATCCTTCTCCTGCGATTTGCCCTTGCCCGCCTGGTGTGCTCGAGACTCGGGCTCAGAAGCTGAAGAGCTGGATGAGAAACCGTCCGAATCGTCATATTGCCACACGCGGCCTTCGCGAGGACGACTTGGTCTTGCTCCAAGCTGATTGGACGGCAGAGGAACAACAGAGTATCCTCGCGCATCCGGTCGGCGAGGCAAGGAAGGTGATGGAGCGGGCATGCTGATGCCTGCTAGATGAGAATCCGATGGCGAATTGAAGCGCGATCTCGTAGGGCTATGGCCAAAGGACGGCGCACGGGACACTCGCGGTGAGGTGGCAGGGGACAAATCGCGGAGCGAAGAGCTGGGCGATAAAGTCTGAGTGGGATTTGACGCGGGCGACAGATTGTTCGAGCGACCGGGAGACACGGGAGGCGCGAGGTGAGCCATCGCCAGGCCTTCCGCAGGCTTTTGCGCCGTCGGCTTATCGAGCTCTGCAGCGGAACTTGCGGCATCTTCAGAAGGCTTCGAAGTCGCAGAGCTGCTTGAAGCTTGCCTGCGAGTTTGCGATGGCTCGCGCTGGCTCTTGCGAAGAATGTTTGCGAGTGGCAATGGCAGCGTTGGTCGGCGCTTGGGCTCATGTGGGCGCTTGTCGCTCGGCATCTTCTCTCTGCGAGCATCATCATCCTTGCTCTGTGTCATCTTGGCACTCTGCTGATGTGCCGAGCTAGGAGGCGAGTCGGGTCGCTTCTCCGCATTCCCATTGGCAGTCAAGGCGCTGAAATTGGGGGACAGAGGAGACTGAGCATTGGCGAGATGACTGGAAAGACGCGTGTCGTCACTCGCTGCAGCCGCCGGAGAAGTTACGCCCTTGCTCTTGTCCTTGTTTCGTGCAATGTTCGCAAGGACTTCAGCGCCTAGAGCAGCGACTTCCTCTTCGTGTCGACGGCGTACTTCAGCGGCTTGTTGGGCGTTGAGCATCGGCAGCGTCGCATTCCGCGGCTTGCTGGCGGCGGTGGAGACAGAATCTTGTCCGGGCTGATGAGTGCCAGGACGCGGACTACGCAGCTTGCCCTCTGGCGAGAGCGTATCGTGTGACGCAGCCATGGAGTCTTCCGCTGCATCCCTCTCTCCTTCGGCCTGTTGTGCAGCCAATGCTCTCCCAGCTGTTGGAGTGCGAGCATCTGCCTCTCCCTCCGTCGCAATGGGTGAAGTGCTTCGCCGTCTTCGCTTGGGCCAGCTTCGATCAGACGAGTAGCCCTCGCCCGTCGCATCAGCGTCCGCTTCAGAAGCCGCCAAGTCAGCGTCAGCCGCGGGAAGGGCCGCATCGCTTTCGTCGAGGTCGACTGGACCGTCAGCGGCGCTTGCCCGCTTGTCGCCGGTGGCAGCGTCATCAATGCTCTCGACGCTAGGCGCTGCGAGAGAGCGGCGATACTCCTTGGCGAGACCTGCGAAGCCCCACTCGTGCGGCTCGAGGACTTCCTCGTAGTCTGTCTCAGCATCACCAGAGCGCTCGCCTACCCTGCGGGCCTTGATCTTGGTGCCGTCGGGTAGGGTCACCATGCCAGTACCGCCTGGACGGCTTGCACGGATCATCTCACGTCGCCTCAACCTATCATCTTCGTCGCCAGAGCCCACACTGCTGTTTCTGCTCTTGACTGAACTGGCGCGGGAACTGGCGCGTCCTCGTCTGCGACTTCGTCTGCGCGATCGCGCTTCCTCCTTCTCTGAGGAGAGCATCGACATCAAGTACCTGACCGGCACGCGAGATGATTGTCGACGATGTGAGCCTCAATCAGTGCGGCGCCCGACCGTTGGCCCGACCGTTCGCAACTCACACTTTGCTTCGCTCGCCGAGAGTGCTCCACCTTCTCGCCCAGCCTTCCTCGTCGCTATCGCTGATGCTATCACTGTCTTCGGCTGCGCTGCTCATGCCATCTATCTTTGGCAGTGTGCCGTTAGCCGCCAAGTTCTGCAGGACCCTTTCACCATCAGCTGCGTGTCTTTTGCCGCTCGAAGAGTCCTTGGAGCCTCTTCTGCCCCCTCCACTCTCGACATCTTCCTCCAATGATGGCGGAAGCATTCCGAAGGGATGCGGCAGAGGTGCAA